TCGAAAAGGTGGAAGTGTTTCTCAACTTTTTTAATGATTTCTGATAAGATCGTTCATTAGTTTTTTTATCATGCCCAGTAAAAACCCAAGTACCTGAGCTACCCATCCCATTCCTACACCTGTGGCATCCAACACAAACACATGCAAAGGAAAGTCAATTGTTCATCATGACAAAATTCATGTGAACATGTATGGTACAAGTCATAACGGGGCATTTCATCAAACAACATGTTTGTCACTCTAAAACATGTCTGAAATAGGTATCTTAACAATCAGGTATCAAAACATCTTTTCATTACCAAAACTAAAAACAACAATATTCAGCTGACTAGTTTCATGATGAGTATCAACCTAACAGAGCTAATGTAAATGACACTTCAAAAACACATTGCCATACTTCCTCTATTAGATGCTAGGAGTCCAATACACGCCTCTTAATTAATACTTGGTCATACGCTCTGTCCAAAAAATGGAATCCAGGTTTCTGATGTGGGGCTATGTTGGTGATTAATAACGACCATTTCCTGCAAAAGGTACCTTTGTATGACTGTAGAATTAGGGACTCAATAAGGTTGTGAGTTACCACTGAGCCAAGGGTCGCTAAATACAATGTTAATTCCTAATACGGGATATTTACCACCAAAACACACTCGCGTGATAACCTCTATATTTTATACACAGTACAGGCAGAAACATATATATTAGATAAACACTGCGTCTATTCTCCATCTCTCGACAGGTAGATTCGTGCACAAGCATGGAATGGTAAACAGGGACATTTTGGAAAGTCGACCCTGCAAAGCGCTCACCAAAGGAACTCGTATATTGACATGTGATAAACATTGACGCCGTGTCTCAGTGCACAGGTAGACCACAAAAGGCAGCGCAGCTGGTGCTCCAGTGTGACCTAGTTGCTATCGCGCCTGTTACAAATGTGACATTGGAAGATTTCGTCTCTAGGATACGTATAATAATGATGTTCATCCCAACAGTGATACTGTCAACTCACCATACATAGTAGAATCTAGGGATAAACACACCAAACAAGCACATCCGCCATTGCAATCGAAGGTCATAAATATTCATGCATCTATCAATATATTCTTGGAGCAGCGCTGCCAAAGAATTGTGTTTCTATAACAACAGCTGAGAAGCTTGCACAACTCACGTGAATTAATGTCGGTGGTAACGATTTTTTCCAGTCTCATTTGTTGATGGGTGCTTAAAAATAGTTTCTGTTTTGCGGGTGAGGTTAACTTATTTTAAATCTCAAAGTGTCGCCTGGAAATGATCTGTCGGATTGTGGTTAAAGGGAGGTAAATATGCCTGACATGCGCCTGATCGATACAATGTTATCACCGGAAAATCGTGCATAGATTCTACCAGCATGATTTCGCATATTAAATTATTTCCAGAAACGAAACAGAGCTCGATATCAAACCCATGTGTATAATTATACGGACGTGTTACCTTTTTTTCCAATATGCTGCTCAAAGTGTTTTCCATGAATAAAAAAAGTCTTGATTAAAGTCGTTTTAAGAGAACACGAAGCTATTAACAGATAATAATTACGAATCCCAGCAACGTGTGAAAGCCATCGTTGAGTCTTTAACCTCGGGCACGTTATGACAGCAGAGAAAAGCGTGCATCACGCAATATGTGTGAAAATCTCGAGGTGTCTCATCGATGAATGAGGACAACACAATATTAAATTGAGAGCGCTGTGAACAAACATTCAGTGAGTGATGTTTGTTTGTTTGTTGTTTAACGCCGCACTCAGCAATATTCCAGCTATGTGACGGCGGTCTGTAAATAATCGAGTCTGGACCAGACAATCCAGTGATTGATATCATGAGCATCGATACACACAATTGGGATCGATGACATGCATCAACCAAGTCAGTGAGTCTGACCACACGATCCGTCAGTCGCCTCAGACAAGCATATAGAGAATCTCACCAGAGTGTCTTTTGATATCAAATATATCAACACGAGTTGATAAAAGTGGGAAAACTCCGAGGCTTGCCGAGAATTTTTTCCACTTTCATCAACGAGTGTTGATATATTTGATATCAAAAGACACGAGGGTGAGATTTTATTTATCATCCAACATCATACTTCCAACTTTTTCAGTTTGTAGACAGTAATAAGCAGTGTCTTAAGTGTAAAAAGTACTGCTAACAACTTCAGTAGCCGAGCCATTAGTGATGTCATTTAATTGTGACATCATGGTAACCAATGACGTCACAATGGTCTGCAAAGCATTGTGATGCAATTTCATTGCAGCGATATCTACAGTGTAGATATCGCTTGATCTCACCCAAGCGATATCTCTAGTGGGAGCCAGTTTTGGATGATAAATATATTTATTATTTGCCCGTGAAGAGATCACCCGTTTAATAAACATACAGCTGTATTACACATTGTGTAATACCTAAACGCGTGCTTATGTACTCTCGGAACACGTTTTACGAACAAATATTGAGAGCTCTCGACATCCCTTGGCTTATTCAACGACATTGCGGGTGGAGATGATAGATCACTGAGAGGAGCTCATGCACACTCGATGACCCCAGCAACCTTGTTCCTAGGCTGACGTCACATGGCATTGTTTCGCCGATGGATCTTACAACAAAATTACACAAATTACGTCATCGGGTACTGTGACGTGATTGTAAACTTTGAGGTGCAAGGTCCCGGTCCACAAGGCGATCGTGCTGTAGCACGACAGTCGTTGGTCTAAGTTAAAGTATGTGAGTTGCGATAACCTTAGCGCTACGATAATTTTGTGGAACGGACGCCTGAATTCTGAAGGTTGACGATTGTATGGTTCTAAATTCATACGTTTCAACTTTTGACGTGTTTGAAGCATTATTATGTTGAACTCAATTGGATTATGCCGTGGGTCGTGTAGGTGTCAGCCTATTCACACTCAACAGTATAATTCTAAAAACGTTATAAATGGCAAGTAATAAATAAAATACTAAACTCGCTCCCGTGTAAGCAAATGTTATGAAACTCGTGAATAGTTGGGGTATCTGACTCGCTTTCGCTCGTCAGATACCCCAACTATCCACTCGTTTCATAACATTGGTATGACACATATTGTAATACCCATGAAATAGTAGCTGAGACTTAAATATTGAATTCAGCGTGATGAGCAAAAATAAGGGATCGACCCACCATTTCATATTCGGGGTTGGGGTTGGGTTGGTTGATTTGTTGTTTAATGCCGCACTCAGCAATATTCAATCTATATGACGGCGAGTCTGGACCATACAATCAAGTGATTAATGTCATGAGCATCGAGCCACACAATTGGGATCGATGACATGCATCAACCAAGTCAACGAGCCAGACCACCCGATCCCGTTAGTCGCCTTTCACGACAAGCATGGGTTGCTGAAGACCTATTCTACCCCGGATCTTCACGGGTCGGTTGGGATTGGGATTTGGGTGGAGAATTATCATTAGATATTTAATTAAAACTATGAGCCTAATAAAATATTAAAATGTAATTTTTTCAACAGTCTGAAGTATAATTATTTTTTCAAGCAACTTCGGAGTGTAACCAGGGGTTCTTTAATTTGGTTCTCGGTCTAGGAGTGAGTGAGTAGGTTGGGTTTAACGCGGCTTTTAACAGTATTCCAGTTATATCACGGCGTGTCAGCTTAATGTGGGAGGAAAGCCCGAGGTGATGCAGCTCTCCGACGCTGACCACTTCGGTGAAACCCACGAGCACGGGTATGGTGCTGACAAACCTAGAAACAAAATTGGGGCAAACCGGGATTCGAACCCACGATCATAGGTTTCTGGCGTGCCCAAGGGACGCAACTCTGCACAACGAATCGCGGCGCTTTAGACGACTGGGCAATCCGTGCCCCCTCTCGGCCTAGGATACTGTCCACAGGAATGAGTCTTGGTTCAGCTCAGAAATATTTTTTATTCAAAAGCTAGGTTTCTATACAATAGACGTATACTTCGCAAACGTTCTGCAAGTAATCAGCAAATGACCTTCGACCTGTCTAGTTCTGTTCCGCGGGGCGGTCGAGTAGCCTAGTGCTTAAAGCGTTCGCTCGTCACGCCGAAGACCCGGGTTCGATTCCCGACATGGGTACAATGTGTGAAGCCCATTACTGGTGTCCCCCGCCGTGATATTGCTGGAATATTGCTAAAAGCGGCGTAGAACCATACTCGCCGTTCTGTCCCGCAAACCGTTCTCCCAGATATCCGATTAATTACATCAAATTCTTGGCTTCTTGGACTCCCTGTTTGACTATTTATATACATTTAAGTAAAACAGGTTTACATGTTCAATTCTCTATTGATTAATTACCCACCCCTACAACACCATTACATTGGCTTACCCATTTGTTCCAATGACGTATTGAATATTTTAATGGACCCCCCAAAAGGGCTTTGGTGTTCAGTGAGATTTCGGCTATGTGGACAGGATATTGTTACGGCAAGTTGTGTTAAAATTGTTTTGTTTAACTTTTTCTACGTGTGTGTTATGCTGACAGTAGATACAGAGAACTTCACGAACGGGTTATCCCTGTAAGCACAGGACCATGTCACTAATAATTATTATAAACAAATTCGCAAAAACTCGAAGACGAGGCCGAATATTAGTTACATGGTCCTGTGGGGGCACGGATGGCCCAGTCGTCTAAGGCGCCGCGATTCGCGTCCCTTGGGAACGCCAGAAACCTATGATTGTGGGTTCGAATCCCGGTTCGCCCCGATTATGTTTCTAGGTTTATCAGCACCATACCCGTGCTCGTGGACTTCACCGAAGTGGTAAACGTCTAAGACCTGCATCACTTCGGGCTTTCCTCCCACATAAAGCTGACACGCCGTGATATAACTGGAATACTGTTAAAAGCGGCGTTAAACCCAACTCACGGCATGTTCCTGTGCTGTAAGAAGCTTGGTTTCGTTTGCTAGGGTAAACTGGTTCTACTGTTGGTACGCGCAGTAAATCCAGGAACTCAGTCTAATGATGGGGGAGGTAACTCTAAATGACTTCAGCATACACATTTAGTGGATTCACTGCCCGAGAATGGTTGCTGGTGCCTTCCCCCTGGTAAAACTCGGCTCTCTCCTTGTCAAACAGGTCAGCAAGCCTGTCGCTAACGCCCTCAAGCGGAGAGCAAAAAGCAGTCCGTTTTTCAAGAGATATGTGTGCATGCCACCAGCACAGCGTACGTACGAAATGTGTTGATCATGACCTTAGACAGTTAGACAGCTAGTGCTGTTACTCATGTCCTGTGGTGCGAGTTTATTGTGTAATCTCTAGATCGGAACATGATTTGTGACAGGTAAAGTTAGGTTAGTCGTAATAATATCCTCAATGTGTCCATGACATGGAGTGTCATGATAAGCTTTGGTCATGTAATAGTAATGGATGCCGTGGTTGGCCGAAGCCCTGGTGGTTGTAGCATTCACTCCTCACGCAGCAGGCCTGGGTTCGATTCCCAGTATTGGTACAATGTGTGAAGACCATTTGTGGTGTCCCCAGCCGTGGTAGTGCTGGAATAATGCTTAAAGCAGCCTAAAACCATACTCACTCACTCACTCACTCACTGTAACAACAAGAAGGATGAAATAACAAGAAAGACAAAATATTATACTTTTCTGAATGTTTGGTTGAAAAAAATAATAGTCTTGGTTCTCAGGCATTGCCCTCATCATCATAAAGTCCGCCACATAAATTTCGTTCTTATTTCCATTTTCAAAACAAACAAAATCCTAATGTGATACAATATAGCACACAGTTACTTCCCTTTACATGTGTACTGCTTTTCTGCCCATCTTGTGTTATTGTCATGGTGGCAATAGGAGTTTGTATGCTTGTTTATGTAGGGAGGCCTTTTCCCAGGTTGATGGTACAAAACTGTTTATTACATACCAGTTTCAACAAGCAGAAAAGAAAAAAACACTGCCCGCCTGCACCATATTTTCAAAAGTCATTGCCTCAGAACCAATTCTTATATTTTTTTAAGCTTCTTCCTCAACAGGTCGAACCCTGATGTTATTGATAAAGTGAGTGACAGACTTGAACATCAACCCCAGCATTCCCGTGCCATACCACCTTACCTCAATGTCGACCTGTAAAGATTCCAGGGTATCACTGGAAATCACTGGATTGTCTGGTCCAGACTCGATCATTTACAGACCGCCGTCATAATGCTGGAACATTGCTGAGTGCGGCGTTAAACAACCAACCAACCAACCAAATACCTCAATGTCAAGGTATTTCTCCAAGGGTGCATTGGACAATGATATTGCCAATGTCCATGGTGTCAGTAAAACTGCAACCTGTGAAGATCCCGGGTAGAGTAGGTCTTCAGCAACCCATGCTTGCCAAAAGCGGAGACTAACAGGATCGGGTGGTCAGGCTCGCTGACTTGGTTGATGTATGTCATCGTATCCCAATTGCGTGGATCAATGCTCATGATGTCAATCACTGGATTGTCTTACCAGACGCGATTATTTACAGACCGTCATCATATAGCTGGAATAGTGATGAGAGTGGCGTTAAACAACAAACCAACCAACCAACTCCATTCCACTTAGCGATCTTAGTGCTACGACTGTTGTAAGTCTATGATAAAGTATAGGCGTTATGATTGTCTTAGCGCTAAGAACACTTTGTGGAACGGCACCCTAATATTCACCACAATGCCTGTCTGTCAAACAGGTACCAAAGGGTCATTCTTGAGTACTTGGTGCATTTGACTGCATGACCTTGGGCTGCATTTTGTAACGTTATGAAAATGTAATATGACCAGGCAGACTAAGCAAGCGTGAACTCTCTTAGACTAGAGTAGCTTCCCTTTGATAAAGGGCAGTTACTCTTGCATGCAGACTGATCGATTGCCACGAAAAAGAATCACTGTCACAATTGAAAAGACATATATGTTGGCAATTGTATTTTTTCCTGTATTGTTTTTCCGCTGTCTAAAATACAAGCTGGAACTAGTTTGCCTGTTGTCACTGTCTGACAGACTAGTCACTGAGCTTGTGACATTATATATATTAATGCATACATTCAAGGAAACCATTTGTGAGAGATGACAATACATTATTAACGAAAAAACAATGACAGAGTATTGTCATAGCAACCGATTTACGACAACAATTGTCTGAATGAACATTTAATTTCAAAGGCTAATTGCCCTGGAGACATGACATCTATATGCCTTGAAACACTTAATTGCCGGTATTTATAAGATGCTAATCCCAACTGTTAATCCCCATTGTATTGTACATCGACTGTCTGAGAGAGAGAGAGAGAGAGAGAGAGGGAGAGGTGGTCTCACTGTCGCACTGGTGTTCGATCAACTGCTACCATAATCGACTAAAAAGCGCCCAGGGCACTCTCAGAATTGGAAATAGGGGGCTCTTATTAGAATATTATTTTGGTGAAAAAAACAGAGTTCAAAGATCGTAAATTTGGTGGTTTATGCTGACAGCCTGTAATGTTTATATACAACAGATATATTTTTCAGAAAATAATTGCCCATAATTAAGGGTGCATATAAGACATGAGTGCGTATTATACACAAATAAAAACTCTTGTGTACATTGAACAATCAGGTGCTAATTGGGATTGTTCAATATATGAGAGCGGGGCACTTTTTAAGTCGAATACAGTAATCCACTTCTATCCTCTGTCAGTGTACCTCGTGAAGATCCGGGGTAGAATAGGTCTTCAGCAGCCCATGCTTGCCATAAAAGGCGACTATGCTTGTCGTGAGAGGCGACTAACGGTATCGGTTGGTCAGGCTCACTGACTTGATTCATGCTTGTCATTGTATCCAAATTGAGTGGATAGATGCTCATGATGTCAATCACTGGATTGTCTGGTCCAGACTCGATTATTTTCAGACCGCCCTTATATAGTTGGAATATTGCTGAGTGCGACGTAAAACAACAAACAAACTGTCAGTGTACTGCTGGTGTGAGATCAACTGCTAATTCACTTTGTCCTCTGTTGTCAGTGTACCACTGGTGTGAGGTCAACTTCCGCCTCAATCTGATGGGACTGGGTCGAGCCAAGCATGTGGACAAGTTGAATGATGAGATGGCCACGGAGCTTGGTGCTGAGATGTTGGGAGAGTTCATCATCTTCTCCATCGCCGTGGGAACACTGATGTATGAGTACAACAGGTCTGCGACAAAGGAGGAGATCAAGGAGGAGAGAGAGAAACAAAAACTAATGTCATTAGAGCAGAACATACAAGATTTAGGACTGATTACAGAAATGCAAGGTACCCAGATACGTGAACTAGAACGGACTGTCAGTGACTTGAACACGAGGAACCTCAGCCTTACAGCAAGAATATTTGGAGCGGGGAAGACATAGCTGTTGTTGCTTGTGTGTGATATATATTGTGTAACGTACAGGAAATGTGAGACTGTATAGAGTAAAGTAATTGTTTTCCAGACTCGCTTGAGAAAGTTTGAATGAGTAGATTTTTCAAACCAGATATGTGTGTCGAAACAATCTTGTGTTCTCTGTAATCTGAATTTGCCTTCATTGCTAGTTTGTGTCCTACAAACAGTATCTAACAATCTTACTGAAGTTGGGGGCCGTATAATAGTGCATTTGTTTGTGAAATATATTAAAGAAAGGGCATAATTCTAGTATCTGGATAATACTACAGTGCTTGTTTTAAAATTGTAAAGTACTAGTACTAATAGTTTGTAGGTACTTCTTTTCTTGAACAATCAAATTTGTTTAAATACACTGGTGTATAGGTGTATTAATATGTAGCAGTAGAAACTGTTGACAATTTGTTTGTAGTGATGATATTGCAGCGTATGAAGTGCAAGTTTAATGTCAATGTCAACCCTGGAATGTTTGTAAACATGCACATGGCAGGCTTCATCATTCGAGAAGTTTTGGAATGAGACAGTTACTAGAAGGCTGTAAATGACCACTCTGTTACAACCATGACAAGCCCCATCTGAAGACAGAAGCAGCTGGATGCGGAGTGTACACTGATTAACGCATAGCTGCCGTTCGCAATATTTTTCGTATTTGTCTGAATCTGCAACTAAAGTACGAAAATGTGATTTCGTTAATTCACACAAATAATATGGCGATCTATGGGGAAAAAAATCAAAAGGACTAGACACTGGTAAATACCAGCAGAGGTTGCGGAGGTCTATCAAGGTCATCTTCAGGAGGCAAGGGAGTTGACTGACTATAAAAGTCCTGTTTCCGCCCTTGCCGAACTAGGCTGGTATTATGGAGTCACATTTTGGCTGGACTTAACGAGTCTATGCATAGTCCAATCAAAATCGCACAACAAAGTCGAAATCCAGTTCATAAACTGTCATGCAGATTTAGGTCAATTGCAGGATTTGCAAAGCATGTGCACCGCCCACTCGTTGTCAACAGATATTTTCCAAATAGTTTTACATTTTTATTTTAATCAAGGTGCTCATGTAATTTGATGCACTTCACGAAGTAAGATCCGTTTTGTTACAATATAGATCTTGATCTACGATCAGATCATCTTCAATGGGCGCCACTGTTTTGTTTGAAGCAAATGCAAGTGGTATGAGAGGTGGAATCTGATTGGTCCATAGGACTGTAATGAGTATGAACACACAATGCTATTTAAAAAGAGGTCAAATGTAACAAAATGTTATATGTAGGATAACTCTTTTGGGGGTTAAGTCCCGTCTGGGATTCGAACCCACACTGCCAGAGTTGGGCACCTAATCACCTGCACACAAAGTCAGCGATCTAACCCACTCAGCCACTGAAGCTTCCACAGAAATGAAAGTCCGACAACTGGTACACTATGGCAGTGTGGGTTTGAATCCCGGACGGGAATCAACCCCAAAAAGTATGATAATCTGTACTTTACTGTGAAAGTGTTATCCCAAATATGACATTTGTTGTAACGAGTATGTTGTATTATAGTTTTTGCATAATTCAACACCAGATGAATCAAAATAAAATAGTCATAATGTGAATTGTGGGTTCTTTCCTCAGAAATCAGTTTATGTAGTCTTGGGAGTCCTGGGGTTTTGTTTCCGACAGAATATATTTTCCAAACAGGAGGGGCCAAATATTTTATATACTAATGGAAAAAAGTAACTGTGCTTCACATAAAGTTGTGTAAATGTAAATGTTATGTTCTTGATAATAACAACATGATATTTGGTCATTCATCTGATCAATGTTTCATCATGACGGATTTATTGACAAGACCCATATATGGTAATGGGAGACAGAGTGGCACGCCCTGAAAGAGGGTGGTGTAACAACTCATGGAACAATGTCAATATATATCGCATGTGTCAATATCTACGGGTATTACCCAGCTGCTGAAATGTGACGTCATGTCCCTGCATTTGCATAAAGGGTAGAATATGATCAGAGCTATGTCCATGTTGGTTGGTTGGTTTGTTGTTTAACGCCGCACTCAGCAATATTCCAGCTATGTGATGGCGGTCTGTAAATAATCGAGTCTGGATCAGACAATCCAGTGATTGATATCATGAGCATTGATCCACGCAATTGGGATACGATGACATACATCAACCAAGTCAGCGAGCCTGACCTACCGATCCCGTTAGTCGGCTCTTACGACAAGCATAGTTGCCTTTTACGGCAAGCATGGGTTGCTGAAGACCTATTCTACCCCGGAATATTCACGGGTCGCTATGTTCAGGAAATATGCCATTCAAATTACCATTACCAATGATCTGTTGTGAGAATATGTCTTCAGCAACCCATGCTTGCTATAACAGGCGACTATGCTTGTCTTAGAGGATCGGGTGGTCAGGCCCGCTGACTAGGTCGATTCATGTAATTGCATCTCAATTGCATTGATTGCTGCTCATGATATCAATCACTGGATTGTCTGGTCCAGACTCGACTATTTACATACACCTGAGATATTGCTCAGTGCGGCGTTAAACAATAAACAAACGAACAAAACAAATCTTCCCATGAGTTGTGGTACAACCCCATACCATTACACTTCCACGCCCAAACGGACCAAGTTGAGAAGGGCAAGCGTCGATTAAAGGTTCTCCCTTCAGAGTTGACCAGATGAAACCTGGACTCACCTGTGACCAGTACACAGTCCCAGTCTTGTCTTCTGAACCTCATATGCTGTCTACACCATGCAAGGTATGCCTAACTTTAAAGCAAATATTGTGGGTGTCGCATTTTGTTGAGCTCCCTCATTCGGTTGCATACGGTTCTCCCACGAATTGTCCAGGTTGATAATGTAGCAGTTTGGTATCGATTCCGTAAATGAACCAACCGAATATGTCATGACGTCACACGTGGATGACCGGCCTGTGTCAAGTCATGGGTGTTGCCCTACTGTAGATAACGTCTCAAAGTATTAATGTGAACATTTAAAATGTCTGGCATCTTCGGTTTGCGTCATTCCTGTTTGCAGCAAAACCACAGCCTGTAGACGTTGAGTTTCAGCAAGCCGTGGCATTGCGTAAGCGTTTTATGCTCATAAGTGTTTTATGAGCACCTAATAGCTAAACAATCACTGTATGGTGTTCATATTAAAACACAAACCACTCATATGAGTATCATGGTCCAAGAAATCATGCACACATCCAAAAAGGGTCGCCATGTATGAACATGCAAGTGCAAGCTGTGAATCACGACCTTAAAGTTTTCAGAGGGGAAGCTGTTTACAGAGAGTAATTTTGAGCGCATTTAGGAGCATGGTCAAATCATGGTCAAACTTTCGCAAAACGATACCCACCTATGTTGAGCCCCACAACTCACTACACTTACAGCAAATCACATCACATTTTGAAAAGAGTTGGCTGAATGATGCCTAGAAAAAGTCTTCAATATGGCTGTCATTGCCATGTGGACATGGTGTCAACATAAGGCGACCGTGTTGAGAAGGGGGAAGAGAGAGACAAGATGATCCAAGATCCGGAAAACCTTCAACCGCCACCACCAAGGAACTTGAAAAATTACATGTTATGACAATGGAAGATCGACGACTCATCATACGTCACGTAGCCAATACAGTAGGCATCTTAAGAGAGATTTGAGAACATTCTGGCGAAGGAACTGTGCATGCTGTAGGTTTCAGCACCCTGTGTCCTGAGGCTTCGGAGTCCTCGTTGTTTTGAAGCAGACGCGGATGATTTTGAGGAATTTGTAATCATGAATGAGTTGGATCACAACTATCCACCAGAGACTGAACAACAGTCAAAGCAGTGGAGACATCTAACGTCTCCATCGACGAAGAAGCCAAAGTCTGTTCCATCAGCTGGCGAAGGTATATGTCTGGGATGTCAGTATTTTTAAATTTGGAAAAAAGATATGATGTCGTGATGAGACGTCGTCTTACAGAAATGTAAAATTAAAGTTTTAGGTATGCATAGGACTTGAATGTCATATCATGCCTTAGCCAGGGATCTCGACTTCGACCATACTATCATAAGTTGTCTGGAACAGAAGCACGGCAAACAGGACAATTCAAGGACAGACCAAGGTCAGGAAGCTCAAGCTAGGATGACAACCCCGCGTGATAACAGGACCTTAATTCATATTGCGCAACATTGAAAAGCACAATTATCAGGCGTCACTGGAATACAGGAAACTGTCTCTCATCAAGCCAGTACAGCGAGAAGACGTTGCAGAGAAGCCGCTTGACAAGCTCGACGCCCTTTTCCGACGTCTACTGCTTTCCCCTATGGACATCTCCGTTTAGCGTTAAGCGATGAGTATAACTCGTCACCACTGGACCTGACCCGTGAAGATCCGGAGTAGAATAGGTCTTCAGCAACCCATGCTTGCCGTAAAAGGCGACTATGCTTGTCGTTAGAGGCGACTAACGGGATCGGGTGGTTAGGCTTTCTGATTTGGTTGATGCATGTCATCGTATCCCTATTGAGTGGATCGATGCTCGTGATATCAATCACTGGATTGTCTGGTCCAGACCGCCATCATAGCTGGAATATTGCTGAGTGTGGCATTAAACAACAACAAGCTCGACGCCCTTTTCCGACGTCCACTGCTTTCCCCTATGGACATCGCCAGGAGCGTTTAGCGCTGGGTATAACCCGTCACCACTGGAACTTGAATTCTATGAGGCGGATGCCAGGTCTGCTGAACGTCGCTACTTCCTGCACATGACTGTATGACGTCACCGTGTATGGACACGTCAATATACAGTTTACGATCAACATTTTTCCCAGGGTGCCGTTTGGTGGTGGTTCCGTCATGGTTTGGTGTGGTGTGTCCTATGACTGTAAACTGGATTTCATAACAGCTCGAGGAAACTTAAAAGGGCAACGTTACGTCGACGAGATCTTTATAAAGAGGGGATCCCATATTTTGACCGTCACCCCCTTCGTTCACGACTGGTTTTCATTGTTGACAACACCTGTCCAGGCCTCACAGAAGTCGCGCAGTGTTGGACCATTAGCGCCGAATGCAATCGACACTTTACCTTGGCCAGCAAGAAGTCCACATCTCAATCCTATTGAGCACCTATGGGAGCAATTCTGTCCTCGTGTGAGAGCCGGGGGGACCCACCGAAACAAGCGGTACACGAACTTAAATAGGCTACAGATCAGTGCTACTTGGCAAAATCAAAAACAAATACGATCTGTCGCCAAACGTTGTCTCACAAGATTACACATTACCAGCTGATTACGAGAGCATATGCTTTGAGTAACACGAAAATGGGGTACGTCCTAGTACGTTTCAAAAGTCAGTTGCCGAGTGGAAACGTACTGGGGTAAAAAAGAGTCTATTTCTTTTTTATCTCCGATTTCAAAATACCTGCCATATTTTATGGATAAGTAACTGAATTCCGTATGTCACACCAGCACCAGCCAAGCAAAACCGCCCCCATTTGAAAGTGAAACGATAGATTACTCCATTGATGTGTTTAAGTGTTTGAAACCAGTTACTGCAGGAGGCCTATATCTATGTAATAGATAATTGGTTTTTGGTTTGTTTTGACAAGCATTAATAGAAAATGCATTGCAACTTTGCAGGGAAACTATTTATTATCCACTATGGGGCCAGATTTTTAAAAAAATGTTTACAAACTAAAAAAAATATGGGAGGTTTAATATATAATTAATTATGTAATATAGTGGGTTGTTTAATTGAGTGTGCCAGATATATGTAAAATATTTACAAAAAGCTCATTTACTGTCACTATCAATATATATATATATATAAATTATTTAAGAAACTATAATGAAAACTTGTTGAAAATTAATTAAAATATTTGAAATTGTAAATTTTTGTTTGGAAAGTTAGACCTCCTGACCTGACGTTTTGGGCAAATC